GGTCTTGGCACACAGCATGGTCAGTGTTGGAGCCACATTCTGGCAGATGCAGCGGCCGGGGCAGGGCTGGCCACGAGATGTCCCTGCCCAGAGCAGCAGCAAAAAGGGCAGGGCAGCAGGTGGCGGCGAGAGGAGCGCCGAGAAGAAGAGGCCTGGAGCCATGGTGCAGTGGGAAGGCAAGAGGGCTGGGAGGCAAGACCTGCAAGAGAAGAGACGGTTACCCAGGCTTTGCCTGGGGTGGCTACCCTGGAAGTCCTGCTAAGAGTCAGACCTGGTTTCCACCCTCCCACCACTAGGTCCTCCAGGATGGTGACAGGACTCATCATTAGGAGCATGCTCATTGTTAACAGGTGACAGTTTTCTATGCCAGTTGGTAAGTTACCACTATCCCCTCCCCTAGCATCCTACCCTCACCTCTGCCCTTCCTCTATGAGATCCCAGACCTCTCATGATGTCCCAACCAGAGGGATGACTCCTGGCCTAGTCTGGGCCCTCCGGTACTCACTAAATATTCTGAAAATCACTGTTGATTATGGTTTAAGGCCATGGATAGCAAAGTCTTAACTCCTTGGGCTCAAATCCCACCTCTGCCACTTACTAGCTGTGAGACCTCGGGCAAGTGTCTGAACCTCTCTGAATCTCGGTTTCTTCATCTGTAAAATGGAGATAGAAATAGGCCTTACTTCTGTGAGAATTAAATATATAAATCAACATGGTGTACTCAAAACAGTGCCTGGGACATAAAATGTACTTAATATAAGTTAGCCATTATGAATTACCATCACCATCATCATCATCAAATGCCTAACATGTACCAGGCATAGAGCTGGGCACTCTTAGTAAAATCAAGAGCTTGGAAACCAACAGCCTCAGGTTCAAGTCCTGGTTCCCCCACTTGCTAGCTCTGTGACCCCAGATGAATGATTTCCCCTATTGAGGTTGTAATTTCTTAACCTGTAGATTGGGATGATAAATGCACCATCTTCATTAAGTTCTTTCCTAGGAACCACAGGACACAGGACCTGGCACATAGTAAGTGCTCAATAAATGTTAAAGATCCCTCCCTCCCACCTCTGGTGGTAGCAGAGAGAGTGTGAAGGTGGGAGGGGCTGAGAAAAATGCATCAGAGGCTCCCAGCTGAGCCTCAGGATTCCAACTCTGGCCTCTGCTGAGCTCCCAAGCAGAGAAGACTTTTGTGTTCATACCTGTGGATACGCACAAGGTTCCATACATGCCTACACACACACACACACACACACACACACACACACACACGCTCATGCAGGGGCTGAGAAAAATGCATCAGAGGCTCCCAGCTGAGCCTCAGGATTCCAACTCTGGCCTCTGCTGAGCTCCCAAGCAGAGAAGACTTTTGTGTTCATACCTGTGGATACGCACAAGGTTCCATACATGCCTACACACACACACACACACACACACACACACACACGCTCATGCTATGCCTCTGCTCTAGGCAAAACCTTCCGGCGGGGATTCCCCCTGCAGCAGCTGCAACCCACGACATGTCAGCTCCCATCAAAACACAGGGTGGGCGCGGGGTGAAGAGGAAAGAATGGGAAGGGGGCGTCCTGAAAGTGTTTTTGCCCCACCCTGCCCTGCACCCAAGTCTCTGCTGGCCCACCTCCTGGGACTCACTTAGGTAGCCTTGATCTTTCTCCCCATGGGAAGGAGGACCGGGATCACAAAAGTCAGAGTGGGAGAGAAGCCGAAAGAGACAAGGGAGACAGGGAGATGGACTGGCAGAGAAAAGAGAGAGAGACAGAGAGACAGAGAGAGAAAAGGAAAAGGAGTCTACAAGGAAAACAAGGAGACAGGGAGTGAGATAGAAGCAAAGAATCAGAAAAACTGAGAGTGAAGGAAATACAGAAAAAAAACTGAGACACAGAGGTGGAGAGAGGAGGAGAGACAGAGAGAGAGTGTTACAGAGACCAAGACAGGAAGAAAGGGACAGGGGCTGAGGGAGACAGTGACAGAGCTGAAGAGAGAAAAAGGCCAGAGTAGGACATCCCACCATCTCTGAGCATCCCAGCCCCCCAATTTGTCCCTCACTCCTTTTATTACACGCCTCTGAATTAGATGGAAAACCCTGCCCTGGAAAGCAGGTCTCCAAAGCTGCCACTGCTTGGCTGTGGGGTCTCCAGGGCTCAGACCCCAGATCTGTGAAACACAAGTACAGAGTTTCACCTTCCACCACTGCAAGACGGGGAGGGGTCTAATCGAAGCAATAACAATAGCAATGAAAATAACTGACATTTACTGACAGGTGGTGCTGCACCACAGGGCCGAATGTGGATCCCACTGCCTGGTTTACACCCCATTTCCCTGGGTGTGTGACTTCAGTCAAGTGACTTTCCCTCTGTGTGCCTTGGTGTGCTCATCTATAAAATGGGGACAAAGAGAGCACCCACCTCACAGGGTTGTTTTGTGGATTCAATGAGACAATACTCTGTAACTTGCTTAGACTAGTTCCTGGACAGACTAAGCACTACATAAATGTTAACTGCTGCTATTATTGTTATTCACTTATTACTTCCCTTGTTCTGGCTCATACACCAGCAGGCTAGACTGTCAGGAGATGTTCCCACCTATAAGCACATGCACACAGAAAATGGCAAACCACATCCACTCACCTCTCAATGCAGGGGTCAGTTTGTTCATGAAATTCTTGCATGCTTTACAGGTACCATGAGGCAACCATCTTCTCCACCTTGAGAGAGGCTGCCTCCTGGCCTGAGATGCCTACCTGCCCCCCAGAACATAAACCCTTACCCAAGCATGCTGCTTCTGACCTTGTCACCCACTACTCCCCAGATTCCAGCAAAAGTGGGGGATGGAGGAGGGAGAGAACAGACCCTTGAGATGCTGTTGTATCTTGCACTGAAATCCACACTAGACAGGGCTCCAGGTCTCATGGCTCAGAACAATCCCCCCTCCCACCACCACCATTGCCCTGTCTCTCTCCCCAGCCCAAGGGCTCCACTCACCTCTCTTTGGGGAGTCAGGGCCTGGGCCAGCACCTACAAAGGAACAAAATCACCCTGTTAGCATCCTTTTGGCTCTTTTCTGGGCAGCAAGGCCTACTCAGACACCAGTGCGGCCAAGGAAGTCCCTGGTGTGACCACTCCCTCAGCTCTCCTGCTGCAGGTTCTGCATGGTTGCCGAGAGCCCTAGAAGTCTTCTCTGGAAACCTGGGAGACTGGCCCTCAAAACTGTTCACCCTCCAAAATCCAGAAGTCCAGGACTTTAGCTCTTAGTCCTCTGGGGTCTAAGACCCCACCCCCTTCCTTCTTCAAAACCCTGGAGTCTGGGCCCTAGCTCCCTTCCCCAGATGCAGGAGTCCAGCCCAGCTCCTGGCCCTCCTCCTTTAGAACCCAACTTCAAAGACCTCAGTGGTACCAGGAGCTGGATAAGGGCTGGAGACTCCCATCCTCACTGTCATGCCACTGCCCAAGCCAACATGTGCAAACAAGTCCAACCCTCATGGCCCCACAACCCAAGGCTACACATCAGAATTTCCATGG